ACTGCTACAGTAGTTGGTTCCATGGGAGTGGAGCCTGATAACTAAAATATCTGCCTCCCATTCTACGTTTAGATATACTAGGAACCACTAGTAAACCTGCAGATTGAGAGCGATGTGCTCTGTTTGGGATATAAGGAACAATGAGATCTGTGATGAAAGATGGAGCTTGGCGACATAAGGCTTTATATGTGAGAAGGAGGAATTAAATTCTATTCTGGATTTAACAGGAAACCAATGAAGAGAAGCAAAATACTGTAAGGAGAGATATGATATCTCTTTTGAATTTTCATAAGTACTCTGGATGTCGTATTTTGAAAGAGCTACAGGCTTTTTACTACTACTCTTTAATATTACATTTAAATGACAGGTCCTGATAAAAAATAAAACCTTTTTTTTTTTACTTTATTATCTCAGATTAATTTAATCCTATCCAAATGAGGTGACTCTGGTCCAAAGACTATATCTTCTTTTTTGTCTGCATTCAAGACCAGAAAGTTAAGAGTCATCCAGGATTTTAGGTCTTCAAGACATGCCTGTAATCGATGTAATTGTTTTGTTTAATCTGGATTTATAGACAGATATAGCTGAGTATTATCAGCATAACAGTTGTAATCAATCCAATGCTGTCTAATAATTCTACCGATTGGGAGCATATATATAGTAAAGAGAATTGGTCCTAGCACTGATCCCTGTGGTACGCCACAAGTAACCCTGGAGGATGAGAAAGATTTATCATTAACGTAAACTAACTAAAATCAGTCAGACAGATATGATTTAAACCAGCCTAAGGCTGTTCCTTTAACTCCTACAAAATATATATTCAAGTTTTTCTAAAAGAATATTATGATCAACTAGGTCAAATGCAGCACTGAGATCTAACAGGACTAATACAGATACAAGTCAATTATCTGAAGTCATGAGAATATAATTTGATTTAATTACAGCAACCTTAAAAGAGGTACATATCCCTGTTACAGGTAGAGATGAATCTATCTAAAATGGAGGAGTAAATTTTAGGAAATACTTAAATAATATGATTGGAACTAGATCTAACATACAAGTTGAAGGCTTAGCTGAAGACAATAATTTTGCTAACTCTGAAACTCCAACTAGATGAAAACAATTTAAACCCAGTTCAGATTATAATTACCTCAGATGCTGGATCACCTTTCAGACATAAATCAATCATATTTAAAGGAGTGCTAATGATCCTATTTTTAATAGAATCAATAAAGTATTTACAAATAATCCCATAAAATCAGAAGAAGGGCAAATGATTGTATCAAAAGTGATAAAAAATATTTCTGCAAAGATTTGATACTCTAAATCAAGCAAAAGTGCTTTTGATGTGTATTGTTTCAGGTCTTAGATGAAAAAAAATGGCTTCCAGTCCATTATAATAGGCTATTTTGTTTTAATCTTTAATGCAAAGCATACATTTAAGTTTGTAGTTTTACAATTAGAGAACAATAAAAAGTTCAAATAGAATGCTTTTACACAACAATATATGATGTCAAAAGATTTACTCCAATCAGTTTAAGATAGTTTGGGGAGATTTTCTGTGAATACTACTTCTTTTAATCTCACTATTTCGACGTTACTGGTTGGTTCTGTTTAAGAAGTCGAATCCACGATTTAGTACAGCCGTGCTGAAAACCACATTCAGTCGTTGCAAAGCCAACCACACTCAGAGGAGAACAGTGGCACAGCATGAAAGAAACTGCTCAGTTGTTTGCCTGCTTAGGGATACCTGAGACAAGGTCACACTCAATTACTGAACAACACATCACAGTTTGACTTTGGAGCCCACATCTGATTTTGTTTATAGGATTAAGTATCAAGCAAAGCAAAGTTAGAATTTTTTCTAAAGCCTGACCTTTTTGGTAGCACAGACTTATATTTTTTTTAATCAACAATGGTGGCACTGCTCCTTAGAACAACCCTCACTTGTCCTCTCTGCATAATTAAACATTTCCAGGAGCTATTTCTCCCTTTTAGCCAGACTCACGTAATTTACAACTCAGATCTTTTTAATGTCCACAAGGCTGCCAAAGGTACTCCTTTAGGAAAAAAGGTACAACAAAGACTATACAACACATGCCTTTGTTCAGGATATGATGACACTGACATAACCGCCTACATCATGATGGGTTCAAAGAAAAAGTGAGCCAGCTTGCTCAGCAGGAAATCCTCCTCCATTCTAAACACTCCAACAGGAGATGAAACCGCAGGTCATGTTTCGTACAGGAGCTCATCTCTCACAGGAGATTGTGCTGTCGATGGGGAAAGAGTGTGCTGAGCTGATGAGACACTATGAGCAGAGACATACAGTGTAGCTTCCCCTCAATTCCTCACATAGATATGTTTTTTTTTTTTTTCGAAAGAGTTGAGCAGTAATGAGACACCTTGCTGAGAAAAGGATGTATTAAACTCATGACTGCAGTCCCAGTTGCTGTAGGTTTGGCTCTCCAGTTGTGTTGGCGCTCAGATGCTGTTTTCCAAGCCGAAAATACTCCACGCTTAAAATTCACCCAACCCTAAAGAACTGGTCCTGTAGGGCTTCACAGTTGGGCTTAAAGCTAACCTCATTTGGACCTTTGGAAGCTGCTCCCCCTTGTCAACCACAAAAGGAAAGTACTCACATGCACACAAGTGGCTCAGAAAATAGAAAATAATTATATAAATAAATTTCAAAATTGTGTTTTGAAGGAAGAGTAAAGCGTTTGCACTCAGTGTCATCATCTTACAGTTTCATATCAAAGCGTAAGGCCAGACAGGAGGTCTCTGTGAAGGGAGTCTTCAGACCTGGCATGTTGAGTTTTCTGCAGCAATAGGAGCCAATATTTTTATAAAATTGGAGTGGTTATGTAGGAACTCAGCTAGAAACATTTGTTGTTAAAGAAAGTCACCTGAAATGAGGGGAAAGAGTTTGATTCAAATGGAAAGAAAGAAGAACTAGGGTACTCTCGACACACATCGCACATAAATCACAATTTAATTTGATCATTACAGAATAATTTATCACTTGCAAAACTAATTTATATGACCAGAGTTTAACCTTTGCCACTGCTTGGCTTTTCTTCATTTGCATGGGAATATAAATATTTTAAAAGGACGGAAATAGGAGGGATTACGACTCTTAAATTTTGATTAAACTCAGTGTGGAACCTGCATACAACTATTCTGTTTTGCTGCATTAGAGATTAAGAGGCTTTTCAAAGTCATTGATTTTATCCTTATTCATTTTCCACTGGGAAAGATCAAATTCTTTGTGTTTTTGACTGTTTTTACACAACCATAATTTAAGCTCTCCTTCTGTGTTCCAGTGACATGTATCCATACCATGACAACCTTGCTTCACTGTAGGAATATGTTTAACCCATAGATACTAATTTTGATGTTCCTAGATCTTGGTTCCAGTTTTATTTTAGCATTTTTATAATCATAGTCTCTAAAATACTGTTTTTAAAACTATACTATGGCATAGAATGGGGAGTGGCACCTAGTGGTTAGGGCATAGGGCTCGGAATCCTGAGGTTGTGAGTTTGAAACCTACTACCACAGACTAACACTCAGGATCTCTCACTCTTAACCCCCAATTGCCCCTTGGGCACCCCACGATGGCAGCCCACTGCTCCCCAAGGGGATAGGTTAAATGTAGATGTAAATTTCTCCAATGTGAGTTCAATAAAGTTCAATTATTATTATTATTATTATTATTATTATTATTATTATTATTATTATAGAACATAAAATGATGAGTAAATGTTTTTTGTAATTTGCAGTTTGATTAATCATGAAATTAAGACCATAGCTGGGACGTCTGTACTTGATTGTTTCCTTAAGCTACCTTACATAGCACTTAAAGTCCTGGAAACTCCAATCTCAGAACGCTTTTTCCCATAAGATCTTCAGAGATACATCTTTTCTTGTTACATGCAGGTGATTTGTAGAAACTTTTGTACAACCTGCGATCTTTGTACAGTAAACTGTAGTTGAAAGTTAACATACCCCGTTAAAGAAAATGATAAATTTACACTAGTAAATCAAATCACAAAAAAAATGAAAAAGTAATAATCAATAAAAATGTACTAAATGATAATTTTCTGATATGAAATATTGATTTTCATTTAAAAAATGATTCTAAAAAAACCAACTGTCCCAGACAAATTAAAGTACCTTGCTCATGAACAGTGAACCAGCATACCTGTCAACAGGTGCAGAATTCTGACTAAACATTACAGACAACACCTTTCAATGGTCATAATTTTTATTTGCTGGAATTTGTATTTGTAATTTGTTTCTGTCTTTATTGAAGTAAATGTAAATTTTCAAGCACAACTATAGGGGGCCGGTGGTCCCCAATTTAGAGAAAGTTGTGCATAATTGCTCATATAAAATAATGTTATAAAGTTTGGAAAAACTAATAATCTTTTAGGTAGTCTATTTTATTTTAGTCTATTTTATTGGTTGGTGTTTGTTTTTATCACCTTATTTCTGTCCACATTTAAAAAAAAAAATCATTGCAGATTTCTCTTTATTCTGGCTTATTCAAGTTATTCCAATTAATATTGTTTTGTTATAATGGAGCAATAAAAATAAGTTTGTACCTTGTGCCTGTATTTTCAGATATATTTCTTGGACACCTCTTTTCCAAAAAGGTCAAAGTCAAACAGATTTTTATTCAGGCTAGCATATTGCCTACCCGCTTGATTGCCAAGAGATCAATGTTTATTCACAAACCAAATTGTTTTGGCAAGACACAGCAGTTACTCAGTGTTCTAATCCCATGCAATGCCATATCTGTAACCATTTTAATGACATTGTGACAAAGGGTAAATGTCTGATAGAAACCTCAAACAATAAGTTTGCAGAGCTGTAAATCAGTTAAGATTGTTTAGTTACATTTTTTCATAATGCTGAACCTAAAGCGATAGTTATTTTACATTGATACAAGTCTTAAAAAGCAGGCACAGTCACTTTCTCTCTGCTTCACACAGGAACACTTAATGCCTTCCTAAAGCAAAAGGGCCAAATGACCTTAGACGCTCCCGTGTGGTCGCTAAGTGGTAATCAAGGTGACCGGTGGAAGCAGGCCAAAGTAAGCATTCATCCAACATCATCCTTCCAGGTGAGACAAAAAAGTAATCAATCCTGTGAGCACATACATTCCCCTGGCTGTCCTCTGTTTTATTTCCTGCCTGTGTTCATGAAGCATTTATTTACTGTAGGGGTGCATGACTATAAAACTGGCTGACATTCAGTTATATTTTGGATGCTGATGTACACTTTGTAGCTGAAGGGATAACACTGGAAAATAGAAACAGCTTCAGAAAAAATGCTTTATCTTTAACTGATCAAAATATAGTTACTGTTAAATATGAAAGGTAGTACCTGTCACCTTCTGTAATGTTCTGAATTCAGCCTAGTAAAGACAATAGAACAATAAATAATCTGCTAATAACTGTTTTACTGTCTGTAGGTTGTACTTGAAGGTATCCGGGGCCCAGGAATCGAGGGAGATATTGCTATAGATGATGTCACGCTAGAGGAAGGGGAGTGTCGAGATCCACCGCCCAGTGAGTTGCACCCACCTCCTCCTGTCTTTCATTTGATCTGAGCCCCAGATTCTCTGTTTACATCGCCAGGCATACTTGAGATTTACAGAATCTAATCTCAGACAGTTGGCTGCACCGAACCAGCGTCTCATGGAAAAAACATGGTTGCCCTAGCAACAAGGTTGTAATCGCATCAGCGATAGCCATGCTGTTAGCCAAGCAGGACATCGTAATTGCAGCTCAGGAACAATGAAGGCAAAAAAAGATATTGGGCCACAGACAATGGCCTACAGTTGACAAGGCCATATTGTTAGCCAGGAGAAAAGCTACTGCTTTGCTTCACTTGCTGAAATATCTGTTTTACCCATTTACTTAAGTTGCAGAAAATGAGTGAAAAACAAAAATCAAATAAAGTACACTGTACATGTAGATTAGTTGTTTTTTTTTGCCACTCATGCTATTATTTTATTCTTTATTTTATTTAATTCAATCCATTATGGTTACTCGTAACATTAATTCATGGAGAGTAGAAGGGTCTCGTCACCCAGGTTGAGGATAGAGGATAATAAATTATGAAATTTAATCTTGAATGATAAATCTTACATGACTTTAGATAATGTAAGAGAGAATATTGAGCAGCATCTCAGAGGGAGCTGAAGGTTAGGAGAGTTAACTTGTGTCGCCCTGGTTAGACCGTTTCAGAGAAACCGGTAGGAGTTTGAGGTTCTGTCAATTGAGAGAAAGGATCTCCCATAAAGATGGTGGCCAATGGGTTAAGTGCATTCTTGCAGATGTACTACTTTAATTTAAAATGATTATTAAGGAAACACTGTTTTTTTTTTCCCCCCCAAATACCGTAATTGTTTCATCTAACTAACAACTTTAGCAATCTACAGACCCTATTGTTATTGGATGAGGAATTGTCCAGAGCTACACCCCTTATTTGTCGCTGAAGCATTTTGTGATTTATACTCACAGGAAGCAGCAAACAAAAAGATAAAAATATTTCTGTTTACATTTTCTGCATGTTTAAAATTATAACAGTTATATAAAAACAATCAAAAGATGCCATTCCTAGCTATGCACAAGCCAGTTCAGCAGCAAACCTAACTGTTACAGGAAGTTAGGAAGGAAGAAGTGTACTCTTGGAATTCCAAAAAAGAAAATTAAAAACAATCCACTGAACTTAGTTTTTAAGTTTGAAGACGTCTCACTTCCCATCCAGGAAGTTTTTTCAATTCAAAATGTCGGAATAGCGTTGAGTCCGAGGTTCTATACAGTAGCCCAACAAAGTATTTTTTTTATCCTTCTGGGGACCCTGATGTATAAAACCTCGAACTCAATGCTATTCCTGACATTTTTAGTTGAAAAAGCTTCCTGGATTGAAAGCAAAACATCTTCAAACTTGGAAACAACGTCCAGTGGATTTTTTTTAATTTCCTTTTTTGGGAATGACTATAACCTGGATGACTGAGAACCTTCACCAGCATATTTACTAGTGGAACCCTTTACCTTCTTGGCTAGCAGGTAACCCAAAAACATTGCAGCACTTTAAAAAAAAAAAAACATTTAATGTGTAAGATAGAAAGCCAATGTAATTGTTTTTAGAGCTAAAGCCACTATTATGCAATTGTATGCTTTATTGTTTAGTAGTGCATAATGCTGACAGTTCCTTTTGTTTCTCCTATTTAGATATCAGTGCCAATGCTCTGTCCACATCCTCCCATATATGGCTGCTTTGCACCACCTTGGTGCTGACTCTCCTTGAAGGTCAAAGGTGACCCTTTTTCTTTGTCATCTCGGAGGAGAGAGTTCAGACCCACCGTCTGTGAGCTATACCCTCTGCATCCAATCACCAAAGATTCATGCATACCGAAAGCATCAGGGTCCCCAGAAGGACCACAGACCATTGGGGGGAGGGCAGGGTGGATTTTATGAAAGACGACACAAAAAGTAATAAAGAAAACTTGCTAATCTTTATTTGAAGAGACCTCTTCTATGTAAAACGATCCTGACTGCAGGACTCTGGATTTTATGAGCACAAGAAAGAGGAGTTCACAAGGGTTGAGGGAAATCAGTTTGTGAAGCACAAGAATCATTTTGTCAATATGTGGAAAACATTTTGGATTGCAGCAAAACGCAGATTGCTGGCTTTTTGAATTTTGGGTATTTCTTCCCTCCCTTGAAGTAGGTGAAATCAGACCGTTTTTTTATTTGTTTTTTTATCCTTATTTTTTTGCAGCAGATGCTGATCATCAATTTTTTTTTTTCCATCCTAGCCCAGCCTCACACTTTGGCATTTCCTTATCTGCTTGGTGCTTTTCTGTATGAAAATCTGGAACCTGACAACATTTAGTTATGTCTGTTTATCCCCCTGTAGCTGCCTACATATCTGATAACACTGTGCTCACGAGTCCAAGTGGCAAACGGACAGTGTGGTGGCAGGGCTAAAGGTAGAACGCTTAGCGAGTTGTACACAGTAAAGTTCAAGTTGAGGGAGCTAAAACAAAATTTGAAAGAGGAGAGATCGGTTCAAAAGAAGAATTTTGAGTGAAGAAACAGGCAGAGTAGAAAGAGATCCATTTAGTGTGCTGCCTGTGGAAAAGAAGCCACTTTACTTTCTGCCATGAAACAAAAGTGCCTTCAGATTACAAACCGAATCGTGAGCCTGAGTGTTAATCAACATTGAACAAGTCTCTGTTCATGTTTCCTTTGATGGGCTATTTTCTATCTTTTTTTTTGCCCCACAAGTGCTGAAGGAAAGCAACACAAGCTCAGAGGGAGTACAGAAGTTGAGCTGCTCAATTATTATTTTCCCCATGGGACGGTTGCCTGTGACTCCATGTGTGTGCGTAACATGCCTGGGTCGTTGCATTTTATAACGTAAAGGGCAGCAAAACAGGCAGAGCTGGTGCCCACCCCTGGCCACACGCTCGGAAGGAATGTGGATAAAAATGGAAAAAGGGAGGCTGACGATTTCTTTCTTTCTTTTCTTTTTTTTTTATTCTTGAAGATGGTTCAAGATCAAGCTAGTGGATAAAGACATCCAAGGAATGAATACCCTACTCTCTTCTCATAATTCTCCTTCCCTGTGGGCGAGTATTTTTTAACTAAAGAGAAGAGCAACTACTGAATAAAACATGGAGTTGTACAGCGAGGAAAGCAAAAACTTCGGGACTCCAGGCTCTTCGTTAGGGTGATGTGTCTCACCCGTCTCCACCACCATTTATATGGAACAATATGAAAATTCAAAAAAGGGATAGTGACCATAATAATAGTCAAGATATTTTATTACTCTTGCGAGAATGTTTCTCTGCTTTTACACAAACTGTGAAGATTGACTGTGGAAGATCTACCTGAGACCATAACCTTAACCAGCTGGGTTTTTAAAAAATGTATTATATAAAAAAAAGAAATCAAGAATATCAAGAATTCTGTTCATTGTTGGTTATGACAAGATGTTTTGAGGACTTGTGTCTCGTTTCTTTCTTTTATTTTATTTTGTTTGAAGAAGACTTAAACTTCCTTTCTCTTCTTGTTGTCTCCCTTTGCATTGCTGAGATATCAAAGCTGATGGAAGCATAAGAAGTAAACCAATTTGGTATATGTATAACTTGTAAATGTTAAAGAAATTCTATTCAAAGGTTTATAATAAATGTTTTATGTTGGAGTACAGGAAGCACAACATACAGTTTAAGGTCTCGACAGTATATTATTCCTTTATATTTCTCAACACATGCGGGGCCTACTCTCACGGATTCAGGCTTTTCAAAACACAAGTCCGTGTTTGACATAAAGGTCTGTCCATTTTCTATTCTATTTTATTGTTCATATTTATAATGCAGCCACAGCAGTCGAGAGTATAAATGAAATCTCCATTAATGCGGATGTGGTTCAACATATGTAGCCTCCTCAGTAAAAGCCTGGATTAGTCGGAGTAGGGTGTGTCTGTTTGTGAGCATAAAGCTGTGTACAATAGTTGTTATAAGAATCTGAAACATGTAAAGATGATAAATATGCTATAAGCAAAACAGAGCAGGATGACAAGCATTTCAGGGCATCCATACAAAAATGTTTGGTCTGTATGATATTATCAGATAGTATGTTTATCAAAGATTTTATCCATAAATCTATTTCTTTTGTTTTAATTATTATTATTTTTTTTTTCATTTAAAATTTCAAATCACACTGAATGTATATGAAGTCCTTGGGCGCTTTTTAACCTTACACTCTGACTAGATGTAATGTTTTACTAAATCACATGTTTTTTCTGTGTGTTTTTGATGATGCAGAATTTCAGCCTTTTCTAGGTTATTTGACACTATTGAAACGTAAAAGATTTATCTGATACAGACTCTGAAAAAGTTTCGAAAACTACAAACTCAGAAAAAGAACCCATTCCCTTGCTGCTGTATCCTTCTGTGGTATGGGAGAAAACAAAAGGTGTCAAAGTGCAGTCGCTGTTATTAGTATGGATATGAGTTTATTCAAATATTTGCTTTGATACCCTTTGGCAGTAAATAAGATTGGCACATAAAACCCACAACAGCCCCTAAATACATGAATGCTTCAGCGTTTGAATAAATGATTACTTTAGATAGAGCTGCTTTAGGTCAATGAATTTTCCATTTTCAGAAACTGTTTTCTAGCGTTACCAGAGTGTGTTATGCTACAGTCAGGAGCCACCTACAGTAGCATTGCCTATGACTGAAAATAAGCAAATACGCTTTGAGTTTGTCCAACAACCACAGAATCTGTCAGCCAGCTTCTCCAAAACATTAAATAATGCATTATATCTTGTCTGTTTATTCCTTAATAAAATGAAGTGTTTCAATTCAGAGTTGTTATTTTTTTCTGGGGGGAAGGCAGGAAGTTAGTGGGTCTGAACAAAGCTAGTTTGATTCATATTCTTTAGCTGTTTCTTTAGACTTCTAATGTCCAGATAAAATTTTGAAATTTATTTGCCAACCTGAAAAAAACGCATTATAATTTTCTGTGTTCAAATCCAATTTATAAACCTGTACATTCTGCACCAAAAATAGTCTTCCTGCTTACAAACTCTGTGACAGACCTTATCAGATTTTTATTTGAACATTTTTATGCCAACTAGAATTAATATTTTACTTAAATAACTTTCAATTCAAAAATAATTTATAGGGAAAATGAAATAAATATTATAATATAACTACACTAGTTGAAATAGTTTTCACCCTGCATTTTCAACCACATCCTCTATTTCCATTCCTGCGCAGTTCTCTAGTTTGAAGCCATTCTCCTGTCCTTGTAAATGAGTGTTGGGGTCGTAGAGAATGGGGACACTCTCAGCCCTCATTTGCTCTTTGAGAAAAAAAAAATCCTCCAACAAAGTACCATTGCTTTATTTAAAAGGATTTAAATATATAAGCAAAGCAATGTGGGCCACTTGTACTTCTTACAGGTTTTAATTAGTTATTTTCTGAATAGAGGTGAATGAACATAAGCCAATAAATACACTTAGAGTTTGAAAGGTGGAAAGTATTCAGGAATGAAAAGCAAGATATTAGTTTAGCATGAAAAGTGGATCTTGATACTCAGTAGCAAATATATTGTTAGATGTTTTTGTTTTCTTACTGCTATATTTTTTGGTACAGTACATAAACACACACATATATGTTTTTATTTTCTGTTGCTCTTCTGAAATTAATATAGACAATACTATCTACAGAGTAATACAATCAATGCATTTTGCTTTGACGTTCTGTAGCAAATGTGCTGTATATAAAAATATGCTAAAGTGAGTCAAATTAGTTTGGATTTTTATTGGAATGACTCCTTAATATTTTCAGGATTTATTGCACTTATTGTATTTTCCTTATAAACAATAGTTTAGATGTTTTCATTACCTGCACCCGGAGCACATCAGTGTCCTGCTTCACTGTACAATATTGTTCATTTACTAAGTATAAACCTTAAAGGTATAGTGGAGGATGTTCTTTTTCCAGGTGGATCATCAAAATAAGTGGTCCACCTAATTGTCAATCATTCTGGTGATATTTTTACGTAAGGCCGTCCTATGTGCTCGTCCCCAATTTTCACTCACCAGGGGATGAAAATTGAGGAAAAATTGCAAATCTTTTTTTTGGAAAGTAAGCTTGAATGAGCTATGAATATAGCAACTTTTACACTTTTTTTTTTTTTGTCACCATTTTGATATTTGTCTGCAAGTGACTCCTGCCTATTCGATAATACCTTCTTAATTGTATCTTTTGTTAAGCTTCACCAATACCAATTACAAATTATTTGAAATTATACAGCAATAATTACAAACTATAAGCAATAATAAACATGAAGATTGTCAAGTCGAGTAAAATAGCAAACACTATATTGCTGAAACAAATGCGATGTTTGGTCAGGTATGTAGCATTCCAAAGCAGCATACTGGTCACAAAAGATATTACAGTGTTCTTTTGTGGTGGAAAACAATTGATTCAAGTCAAGCTTTAATGCATTCAAAAGGCAATAACATTTGGCTGAATAAGAGGGCAGGCATACTGCAGCAAATTGTTTTTCTGCTATGATGCAGTTTTATAATCTTTTCTGATAAAGCATTTTTTTCATTCCAGGAAATGGAGATAAAATAAGCTATTGTCAGATAGGCTGGGCTCCTGGAATATCAAAAAAAGTGGTCTTAATGCTGCTCTATCTTAAATTCGTTTTCCCCAAATATCTGTTACTTATTTTGACATTAATGAAAAATGTAGATGAAAAATGCAACTGTGCATGAATGTACCCAGTGCTTACCTTAATGCCATTAAATTGGAGGTACCGTAGCGTTTCAGGGATGAGGTCTGTCAAGAGCTTTTGCAGGCAACAGATTTAAAATAATTACTGCAAGATGGAATATGTTTGAACAATTTCCCAGTTCTTTAGTAAATGTGATTAAATTTATCCATGTGAGTAGAACCATGACTACCCGCTGAGGGACAAAATGAAATTTATAGGAGGATTTTGCCTTAATTCCTAAAAGTGCATACCTTGTAATAACATAAAGTGTGTGTTGAAGCAAACTTGCTTAAAGAGCTCTATTTTGTTCTGTAATGTGGCTGGAAGCAAAATATGTCAGTTTGTGGATTGTTTTGGATATTATTCAAGATCCTTCACTGAGCATTATGTGAATTTACTGTACCCTCAACTATGATTACATGATTTTTTTTTTTGTATGTGTTACTTTACTGTCAAAATACCTTGTGCCATCAAAGTTCTCTAAAAAACAAAAAAAAAAAAACAATAACCTTTTTTGGGGGTTTTGTCCATGGGAAAAAAATGTTTTATTTTCTGTCTAGCTTAAGAAGGGCTTTACCATTTTGTGCCAGTAGCCTAAACAGTTGTCGCTAGATAATTACATAAAGTGTGTATTACTCTCTGAGTCACAATGCCTTGCTTTAAGTTAAACAGAAGTACCAAAAATGATTGCTTTTTGCTTTTATTCCCAAAAAAATGTTCACCTAAAATAAAAATAAAAATGTAGAAGTTTAAATAGATGTTATTTTCCTGGATATTCCACCAGTAAAACGTGGATCAAACATTTTGGGTTTTCTTCCACCACCTGACAACAATAGTTTTCTGGAATATTGTCCCATTCCTCCAACCAGAGCTACTGCAATGTAAGTGAGTCATGTTTCTACCTACACTTATCTCCTCCTTGATGTCTTGAAATTCTGCTTCAATATCTCCACATGATGTCTTTTTCCTCACAATTAACCTACCTAAAATAGTAAAGCACCCAAAAAAGATTACATTGCCACTCATTTACTTTACAATAGGAATGGTGTTTGTGGGCCTTTTTCCTAAAATGTAATACTGTAATTGGGGTCTAACAACACCTGGATCCATATTGATATTTTTGGTTAAAATATTAATAATTTAGTTACATCAATGCTACATTTGAAATATTAATGAAAACATAATTATCTTTAGGATACTCTAGTGCTGGCTGCACCTTCTTAGAATATGAATAATTGGATATTTTATTTTTGTTTTTTTTGTTTTTATTAATTGCATTTCTGTAAGTATGACAATTGTGTCATCTAAACAAATTACCAGTTTTATCTCAACGTAATGTGATAAAACATGTGATTTACAGCCCTAGTAATAATGGCCAATAAAGCCTTTTGAAATAGTTGTTTGTAATCCACAGAAATGTGTCCAAAATTGAAAGAGAGCAGTTCTGGGTATTGGAGTAATATTTTTCCCTTTCTTGAGTTGTCTTG